TTGTGCAATTGAGTGTTACTTAATTTCCATGATTTTGTAGGTTTTCTGTAATTCGTGTTTTTGTTGAATTCTAACTTTAAAGCATGGTGGTCTGATAAGAGACAGGGTGTTGTTTAAATTTTTTGTACCTGTTGAGGTATGCTAAGTTGCCAAGTATGTGGTCGATTTTAGAGAAGGTTCCATATGGCGCTGAAAAAAAAGGACAAATTGTTTTGTATTTGGATGGAATGTTCTATAGATACCTGTTAAGTCCAATTGTGCCATAACGTCGATTAGTTCCATTGTTTCTTTGTTAAGTTTCTGTCTGGTGTTCCTGTCTAGTGATGAGAGTGGGGTGTTGAAGTCTCCCACTAAAAGTGTGTGCAGTTTTATGTGTGATTTGAGTTTTAGTAATGTTTCTTTTACAAACGTGCATGCCTTTGTATTGGGGGCCTAACTGTTCAGAATTGAGACTCCATCCTGATGGTTTTCTCCTGTGATGAGCAGGAAGTGACCTCCTTCATCTTTTTTGATTGATTTTACTTTAAATTCCAATTTATTGGATATTAGGATTGCTACGCCTACTTGTTTCTTATGTCCATTTGATTGGAAAAGTTTTCCCCAACCTTTAATTCTTAGGTACCGTCTATCTTTGAATTTAAGGTGTGTTTCTTGTATGCAGCAGAAGGATGCATTCTGTCTTCTTTTCCATTCTGCTAATCTGTGTGTTTTTATAGGTCAATTAAAACCATTAATGTTGATGGATATTAATGACCATTGATTGTTCATTCTTGTTTGTTTTTGATTTTATGATGGTGGCGAAATTATGTCTGGGATTCTACCCCTTTTTCCTTTTGGCTGTTGGTAAAGTGGGATTATCTATTGCCTATATTTTTGTGGTTGTAGTTAACTTCCTTGGGTTGCAGATTTCCTTCTAGGACTTTCTGCAGGGCTGGATTGGTGGATATGTATTGTTTAATCTGGTTTTGTCATGGAATATCTTGTTTTCTCCATCTATATTATTTGAAAGCTTTGCTGGGTATAGTAGTCTGGGCTGCCGTCCATGGTCTCTTAGTGAGGGTAGAATATCTACCCAGAACCATCTTACTTTCAGAGTTTCCATGGAAAAGTCAGGTATAATTCTGATAGGTTTCCTTTACAAGTTACTTGACCTTTTTCCTTACTGCTCTTAATATTTTCTCTTTGTTCTGTATGTGTGGTGTTTTGATTGTTATGTGGGGAGGAGACCTTTTTTTGGTTCAGTCTATTTGGTGTTCTGTAGGATTCTTGTATTTTCATTGGCATGTCTTTCTTTAGGTTGGGAAAGTTTTCTTCTATGTTTTTGTTGAATATGTGTTCTGTGCCTTTGAGTTGGATTTCTTCACCTTCTTCGATACCTATTATTCTTAGGTTTGGTCTTTTCAGAATATCCCATTTTTCCTGCATATTTTGTGTTAGAGATTTTGGACTTAAGATTTTCTTCGGTTGATGATTCTATTTCCGCTAGTGTGTCTTCTACTCCTGAGTTTGTATCTTCCATCTCTTGTATTCTGTTGGTTATGCTTACGTCTCTAATTCCTGATCATTTGCCCAGCTTTTCTATTTCCAGCATTCCCTCAGATTGTGCTTTCTTTATTGTGTCTATTTCTGTTTTTAGGTCTTGAACTGTTTCCCTGAGAAATTTGTTGATATCTTGTATTTTTTTGGTTTGTTTTTTCTTCCATTTCTTTAAGGGATTTTCTCGTGTCCTCTTTGCAGTCCTCTATCATTTTCATGAAGATGTTTTTAAGGGCATTCTTTTCTGCTTCATCCACATTGTGATGTTCAGATCTTGCTGGTGTATGGTTCCTAGTCTCCCGTAGTGTCATATTGGGTTTCCTGTTGTTGAATGTGCTTTTACATTGACCTCTTAGCATCCTTTCTTCTGATCGGTGTAGCAGGAGTGTCTTCCTCTCCTGGTGAGTATGGAAACAAGGTTCCACCCTGGTAGATGCAAACAGTTCCAATCCTCTGATGTCTGTCCTCTTGTCGTGGATGGAGGTGGAACAGCCACCAGGGCCTTGGCAGTGTCTGGGTGTATCGGATCCCACAGCCAAACTCGTATCTGATGAGCAAACACCTGCCATCCCTTTTCTGATTTTGTTAATTAGCATGCTCTCTCTCTGCCTTATGGTTATTATGGATAAATCTCTGTCTATCTTATTGATTTTCACAAAGAACCAACTCTTTGTTTCATTGATTCTTTGTGTTGTTTTCTTTGTTTCTACTTTATGGATTTCAGCCCTCAATTTGATTATTTCCTGGTGTCCACTCCTCCGGGGTGAGTTTGCTTCTTTTTGTTCTAGAGATTTCACTTGTGCTCTTAATTATCTAGTGTGAGTATTCTCCAGTTTCTTCCTGTGAGCACCTAGTGCTATGAACTTTCCTCTTAGCACTGCTTTCAAAGTGTCCCATAAGTGTTGGTATGATTTTTCTTTGGTATCATTGAATTCTAGAGACTGAGCTGTCATCCAGCAATCAACAATTGGAGAGTTCCAATCAGAAGCTGCACCCCTTACAAATACAAGCCCAAGTCATCAGCTGAATGATAGTGTTTATGTTATAAAGAAATGGAGGATTCCATTCCTCTTGATGATTTGGGGAAGGGTGTATCCCATTTTCAGAGCCATAGATGTTGCAATCTTCTAAAGCAATGCCAGGCACATTGTCTAAAGTCAGTATTCTTGGTGACTCACACTGCAGTGCCCGTATTATTCATCATGGGAGTGTCAGTGGCGAAGTCTACAGCATAATTTGGCTATGGAGTATGATATATTTCCAGGTACTGCTGCCTCCAAATCCTGCTTATTTGAACTTCAGAGAAACTTCAGTCCTAATAAACTATTTTTCTTTGGAAGCAATTGGATGTTTCTAGCCTTTTTTTTTAACAGTGGAGTCCCCAAAGAAGTCTTCCCTGGGACCTCCTGTTTTAAGGAAGAGTGTTTTCCTTTCTCAGGTTGCAAGAAGTTAGCAAGATGTGGTATGTATACGTTTAAGTCCAAAATCACATGACCCAGAAACCTACTCTTTCTGGCATGTCTACTATGTTTGCTCTCTTAGGCCTTTCCCCCTCTTCTTTAAAGAGTACCCATTTCCCCCCTCTTAGACACTTTTCCCCAACAGTTATTACCAGACTTAGCATAATTATTTGAATTTTGAATCTCTAGCTTTGGAAGGATGAGATATGATGTGACACAGGAGAGACTCCTGGAAAGGAAACCTCAGTTTCTGGTCAGTGCAGTGAGAACTAATTAACAAGGAGACAAAGGCTATGCCCTATGACATCAGCAGTTCCTTCTCTGAACAAGCCTTTGTATCCTGGAGAGCTGTTGGAATTCTCCGTGGTGTAACTAGTGTTATAGCAATGCAAAGCACCCTCAGGACATTTGGTCAGTGCCTATAAGATTTGCCTATATACATGTTGTCAAGACTGAGAAGTCTACTTGGGAGAGCAGGTGGACAGCATGGAGAGACCAGAGTGAGCAGAAGGAAGCAGGGTCTAGATCTCACTGGAAAACATGTAGAAATAAATGGTCCTGGGGAAGACACAGCGAGTTCAAGAAAGGGCCTGCTTTCATTCTGACTAGAGAAAGAGGCACAGAGACATTATTGAGATTTCAGTAGGAACACTGAACTCTCCTCCTCTGCAGTGCTTTAGGTTGTGTGCCAGTAAAAGTTGTGAAAGGAGAGTGCCCTGACAAAGCCTGAGGTCCTCATAGTTTACATGACAGTCACTGACAGAGCAGGAGCCACAAAGTTCTTCCATCTTCCATTGACGCCTAAGATTTCTGAGTACCCAGCTATTGATGGCACACAGATCTCCAATTCAGCCCGAGAACTGTAAGAGCCAGTGGTCCTGAACTGAGAGTGTCTCCTTCCTGCCAGCTCTGGGTGTCTGGGTTGTCAGGAATGATTGCTGTGTGAACCTGGTAACTCCGCTTGGCCCCTGCATGGCTTCTTTATTAACACAAGACTCTGAAGCAGAGAGCAAATGACTTGGGCATCCCTATACCACCTGAGTGTTTGTGACTGTAGCAATATTCTCCTGACTTCTGAAAACACATGGCTCTGGAGGGCTCTAAAGCTAAGGTACTTACTCTGCAGCTGTTTATAAGCTAGAGTGGGCTGTCGCATGGGTCAAGTCATGCAGGGAGTTCATGGAGACTAGCTCACTTCTGAGACATCCACCTCCTTATAGACAGATGGGAGAACTGACATCCACACAGTGGGAGTCTCAATCAGGGCTTTGCAAACCAGCTAGAGCAAAGTCTCATCTATCAGATATTTCCTGCACATCCTTCAGTTGTCAGGTTTGACTGAGATGAAGCAGTGTGTAGGCCAGGCCCTGTCCCTTGAATTCTAGAATCAGGTATTTCTGTGATCTGCACCTTTATGGCATTGCTTGTCAATGTAATATAACAATTAAAAGGACACAGTTTACCCAAACAACTCATTTGTTCTGGAATCCAAGTGCACTTCTGAAGCCATGCTCCAGACATCTGGAGAATTTACAATCAAGACTCAGCATGGTGCTATCTGTTTATTTCAGAGTTGTCAGTAAATGTCAAATTGTTAAATGTGACTCTGGGAAAACTCTAGTGCAAATGACCCCTAATAATCTGTCCTCTTGAGCCCTTTTCATGAATTTCATCCAATGAATATTGTAATTTAAGGTGACTGTGGCACCTTTCCTAAGAGCATGTGCCTTGCCACAGATGGCTCCAGATCAAGGAATTTACTTTTTTTAGCTCTTGGTAAAGCTCCATAGCAATGAAACATTATTTAACTCCCCATGACTGTGACTCATTTGATTTTCCCCAAAATGCCTTTCCATATCTGTTCTGGCCTGTCACTAGTCATTCATTGTAGGGGAAGCTGTAGCCACGCCAACTTAGGGGCTGGCTATAAGTGTTCCTGACCATGCTTTCGAGGGCGTGGTCAGAGTGAGCCTTTCAGGGGACTGTATTTCTCTTTCACTTTCACTTTTGTACTTGTGGTACAGACTGCTGCCACGCCAGCTGGCTAGGTTGCTCTGTAAGTAAGGCTTTTCCCTATTAAATACCCTTATATTTCTACCTGACTCCATATTGGTAATTTCCCACTATAATTCATGTTTCCTTAATCTTGAGTGCAGTAATAGATCATCACTCTTCATGGGAGTGTTTGCTCTTTGTCTGAGGTCTCGCATGGAGAGTTTTTGTCATTAACATCTCCAGTCTGAGATGTGTACTATTTGAGTACACATATGCTAAGATCGCGATGGTTGGAAATTATTCTGCTAATGATTTGGGGAAGTTTCCTCATTAACTCTAGGACTTTTCCTTGTTTTCACAGGACACCCACAGTTTTCCACCACACCCACATGCTGTAACAACCTTGTGGATTCTTCATAATGTGCTTGTTCACATCAGAAGATTAATCTTTCCTCCCACCATTCTGACCTGATGCCCTAGCAACTATTGTTACTCATGTTATTGATCAGAGATCTTAAGAAGGAATGAGCCATTTTCTACATTGTGTTTGGAATAGAATCTTCAATTTTCCACTCATAAGGTAATAAAAATATTAAAGTGAAGCAGAGCGAGACCGATCTCTTGCTTTATAAGGAAGAGGTCCTGAGGTCCTCCCTTGTGTTATGGGAAGATTCATGGTAAGAGCCAGATGGCATCTGGTGAATTGCAGAAGAGCTAGTTAGTAGATAGTTGAGGACTTCTGACTCTGACCCTAATAGTCCCTTCCCTGGAGATTCTACTGTATCCTGGGGAGCCCTTGGTATTCTCTGTGATGTCACCAGTGTTGTGGCAAAACCAAATGTTTGTGGAGAAGGCTGCTTGGGAGAGAGAATTGAGAATATGGAGATAAGAGAGAGAGGCAAAAGGAAGCTGAGCTTGGTCTCAGTGTAAGACACTGAGAAATAAATGGTTCTGGGGAAAGTACAGTGAATCCTGATCAGGGGATTGGTAGCTTCCTGGAGAAGGTGAACTAGAGCAAGACCTTCTGGTGGTGCAGCTCAGTTGGGAGCTTTGGGAAGCAATGGGCCTATCCTAGTTCTCCGGGTTTCTAAAGCGCAGACCCAGAGTCAAATGATTAGTTTAGGAGAGCCATGACTTGTCCAGACTGAAGCTGCTTTTAGGGAGCTCCTTCATTTCTTTCTGAGTAGCAATTTGGGGCAAGAGTAACACATTGACTAATTTGGTGTCACTCTCTGGGTAGGGTATTGCTTCTCTTCATCATAAGAGGATTCATTAAGTTTCCTTGGGAATCTGATGCCAATAAGAATGAAGGAAAAACTCCCCTGGCCAAGAATCAGGGCCTTTGATATCCAGATGCCTTGGTCCTGGCCACCTGTGATCATGACATGGTGCTGCTGATCTCTAGGGACAACAGGATTTGCCTGCATCTTATCAGATATGACATGACACAGAACTCCAAATACATAAGTACATGTCACTTATGACTACCGGGCCCACGGACTTCTTTAGGGAGTGAGGCATATGCCTGTCTGTGGTGTTTGACTTACAGATACAGATCTCAGACCACAGTTTGAGCCTAGCTGTCTGGAACTTTGCAGCCATCACTGGGTTCATAGTACTTGTTCTACCTTGGGCTTCCTTGTGGGACTTATGATGGACTCAGCGATAGTCTAGCTCTATGCCATTCAAGAATATAAGTTCATTTGTCTTTATGTACCAGCAGGGTCTACTGAGGAGGCACCATCCCAACTCTCCACCTTCACTGAGCAGGAATATCAGATGACAGATTTGGAGAAACTCACCATTCAAGTACAGAGTATGACATATGAGCTAATTGAACTGCGTGGAATCATGGACAATTATATCAACAAGGATTTGAACAAAAGATAGTCATTATTTCCAGTTCTCTGCTAACCAACTTGACCCACAGTGTCAAGACAAGCTTTCCTGAGGAACAGGCTGCTCTACCTCCGTGGTGTCCTGGTGCCTAAACTAATTTTCCTGAGTGCATCAGAGAGGCAGAACATGGAGCCTGTGTAGGAGTATTGGGGGTACATAGGCTCTTCTGCTTCCTGCAAATAAAAACTAGAGCCTGTGACCTGAATTACAGTCTTGGGACGGGGCAGTAGTGTGTGATCTCTCATCAATATATTTCAAGAGGCCTTGAGAGGTGATGGCTTGTGGGACACACAAGGCCATGTGATTTTGTGGTGAGTCTTTGTAATTGATCATCAGATTGTGTGCTGAAATGTCCTGGCAGCAGCTGGAGGAGCCTGGTCCCATTCATCAATTTCAGTTTGTGGCTGCAAGGCTTATAGCCCAGCACTATTCCTCTCTTGTTTTCTTCCTCATACTCTGAGAAATGCCACCTCCCTGCATTTCATGGGCATCCTGATTGTATATGGTTTGTGCGGGGAGGTAGAGGACATGTGTGTATGCGTGGACTTCTGGGAGTCTGGGGTCTGTAGCAGGGCTTGAAGATTTGCCATTATCATCACAGTTTCTAGGGAATGCCAGTGCTGAGGCAGAATCCTCTACTTTGAGCAGCACATCTCTTGGCCACTATGCTCACCAAAGTGGAAGTATATACTCACTCTTTGGAGTATATAGAGCCATTCTGAAGTTGGGACTCCTCCCTGGAAATATGAATCATGTGCTTATGTCTATTGTGTAGCAATTTGCATACAGAAATGAAAATCCCTGTTCTGCACACAGGAATGTCACTATACGCTCTTGGTGGGCCAGATATGTGTCACAGACCCCCAGGGCCAGATGGCTTCAGTGCAGAATTCTACCAGAAATTCAAAGTACAGCTAATACCAATTCTCCTCAAAGTATTCCACACAATAGGAGCAGAAGGGTCATTACCAAACTCTTTTTTATGAGGCCACAATAACCTTGATACCCAAGGCACACAAAGACACAACTACAAAAGAGAACTACAGACCAATATCCCTCATGAACATTGATGCAAAAATTCTCAATAAATTATTGGCAAATCGAATCCAAGAACACATCAGAGAAATCATCCATCCCGATCAAGTAGGCTTCATCCCAGGGATGCAAGGATGGTTCAACATATGAAAATCCATCAATGTAATCCACCATATAACAGACTGAGGGAAAAAATCATATGATCATCTCACTAGATGCCGAAAAATCCTTTGACAAAATCCAACATCCCTTCATGATAAAGGTCCTGGAGAAATCAGAAATAACAGGAACATACCTCAACATAATAAAAGCAATATACAGCAAGCCAACAGCCAACATCAAATTAAATCAAGAGAAACTCAAAGCGTTTCCTCTAAAATCAGGTACAAGACAAGGCTGTCCACTCTTTCCATAACTCTTCAATATTGTCCTTGAAGTTCTAGCTAGTGCAATAAGACAACAAAGGAGATCAAGGGAATACAAATCGGAAAGGAAGAAGTCAAACTCTCACTATTTGCAGATGATACGATAGTCTACATAAGTGACCCGAAAAACTCAACCAGGGA